AAGTCGATCAAAAGATTCCAAAGCTCCTTAAGAACAGCACAGGTGGGTTTTGTTTTCTTTTGTTTTTAATCTTTTGGCAATGTGGAGAACTGAGAAACATTCTGGGTACAAAGAAATCAAAATTGACACGTTCTGATAAACTTTAGCAATCTCCCTCTTTCATCTTTCAGTTTTCTTCTATAAAAGACACGGAGCAACTAGGCAAGTTTTATGACTAAATACTAAATGTTAGATTGTTTCTCTTTTTTCAGCTGCTGTTTGGAACTGGGGAGTGACAAGGAATCAAACCTGAAGAGACTCATAGCATTTCTGGTTCTCAAATTTGTAATGCGTTCCTTTGGTTATATCAGTCAGCTCTTGCTTTGATAGTGACAGATGTGCATACTCTGTAATTATGAAGTTTGTGCTTAAGAGTTTTACTGTGCTTGAAGACTGAAGGATCGCAGGTGTCTGTACAATATTAGTTAGGGTTTTTTGTTTTTTAAATAACTGACAAGAATGACCCTCCGGCTATAGCATAAATCACAACAACTAGTACTTGTTAGTGGCTCCAAGAGAAAGATTTTTGATCTGCCTACAGGAATGTGGCTTCTCCCCTTCAGGTTGCCCTGTGGTTGTGTGACTGGTTGCTTTCCTCTTATATCCAGAGGGTATAGACAAGTAATAAAGGTAAAAAGTGATAAAAAGTATAAAGTTATGATGTTAGAAGTTGTTTCAAAAACTTAATGATGAAAAAAGGTTCACAGGGGGTGTCTGACTTCACATTGTTCCCAGTGCTAAAACCTGCGACCTGTGAAGAAGAGATCTTGTCTTCTCCATTTGTAAAGTGGAAAAGATCTGAAATGTTGAATAGCTGAAAACTTAAGTAGATATTGTTGTGATGAGATCTGCTTCATATTTTGAGTTGGAAAAATGAGCGTGAGAAAATTGTTATGTAAGACTTTTTTTAAAAACAAACAAACAAACAAAAATGCCGAAAGGGATGCAGAGGAATAGTGAACTATGTCAGTGAAGATCCAACTTAAGAACGTGAGATTTCAGTGGAATAAATTTCAAGACTGAAGAATAAATGTGAGGTTTTATATTTATTCTGTATCTTCTCTCCCCTTGCCAGTAGTAGTTAATAAAAAGTCTGTTGTTCCTTCTGTCTAGAAACTTTTCACTTTATATTTTTAGCTCTGGACAAAGTGTCAACAACAGAAGAAAATCTTGCTTTGGCTCATGAAAGACTTTTCCTAATTTTGTAGCTTTAGAAAGGATCAGCTAGTCTGGCCTGCACCATTCAGGACTTGTTTTAGCAGATGCCTGCTTCAAATCTAGTAGTGGTGGACAGTCTTAAGAGAAAACTGACCTAAGCAGTAATCTCTATTATTGTTGCAGGCTGTGATGTCTTGGCACTGTCGGAACAGCTAGGAAAAGCCCTTCTGTCAGAACTTCCTTTGTGCCAGGCAAGGAGAGCTGGAGATGGTCTGTCCACAGCAATTTGGCTCCACAGCCAGCACACGAACAGAGGGAATGGTGGTGTCCAGTCCAGTCGTGTCTTGCTCATGAGGGTTTTTTCTACCGGAGACCACCTGAAAATGAACTAAACAGTGGTGTTTAGGATGTGCTTTGAAAATGACTGCCTCTGAAGAGTTCTTGCTTACTTAAAACAGATGTCAGTATAGTTGCCTAACTATTTGCTGTTAAACCTGAGAGCAAGAGGCCAGTGCAATTTCCTCCTGCTTGGTTGTAAAGCTTGACTTGAGAGTCAGCTAACTGTAGAGGTTTTTCCTACCTCCATTCCTCAAGTGAATGGAGAAGATCTGTCATTGATGAGAACATCTAAAGAGATGGTTTACTGGTTATGATTTTGAGACTGCTAGTTGATACTTGGTGGCTATTACATGGTCACTACAATTTTAGGTCAAAATGCCTCCCTTGATTGTGGAGTTTAATCTTTGATACCAGTGCCAGCTGTTGATGTTGCTGTATTAGATTTCAGCAGTGTGAAGAAACGTAATCCAATCCGACGTCCAACAATGTCATAAGGAAGAAAAGTCAAGCCTTATTCGCATGCATTTTTCAGGCCCAATACAGATCTGGAAACTGTAGGGGAACAGGAAAAAAACTAAGGAGGCTTATTTATTGATCATCAAGCAGATGAAAAACTCCATGCCGTGTAATGTGATTTTTTGGGGGGCAAAGGGGGAGATGACACTTCTCAGCATGTTTGAATTGACCATGTTTCCGCTGTTCCTCAGATTTCGACTTCGTGTATACCAGAGGCAGAGGAGGTGTTTACTAGTGTTCAAGTGGACTATGTGGATCTCTCCAACTTTCAGCTAGCTTTAAGGCCAGTGTTTTTCCTCTTAAAATTTGAAGTGCTATCACTGCAGACCTTAGGGTGAGAATGAAGCACTCAGCATCTCAGATTAGAAGCTTTTAGAATAAAGCTGGTCAATTATTTATCATGACGCTTGTATGGTGTCTTCTGCAGTGTAGCCTCAGGCTTGTAGGCAAGGCTGCAATATAAATTATAGTGTTAATACACTTGTTCTCCGGAATGATAGGTTTGCTGACAGTCTGGCACCCGGAGAACTGCTGTTCTGCGTTAGCAAGTGTAAGCACATGCAAGTTTAGGCAAGATCTTACTTGTGCATGCAATGCTCTCTTTACTATGGGGCTCCTTAGATGAGCTCTTTACTGTGATGGAGCTGCGTAATGTTGGGAGCAGGCTTTTCTGTTAAGAGAGGCTGGATTTACTGGGATTTACCTGTCTTAATCTGCTGCAGTCTGCCTGTATGCTGCAGCAGATTTTGGGAAGGGTGTGAATGATTAGCAGCTTGACGAATTTCTCTCAGTAGTTGAAATTATAGTTAATTAAATGTGTCAACTTTAAAAGCAATCGAGTTGTATCCAGTGCAAACACAGAATAACAATGTTGGGCCTCTGTTAGAACAACTGACTGGCAACAACATGTAACAGAAATCCTTACCCTGAAGGACTTGACATCCTGTATGCCTGGAACTATCTTAAATAATAGTAGAAATTAGAACACAAAGAAATACTCTTTCCTTCCAACATTGCTTCTTTGCTGAGATGTGTCACTTAATGCCATCGTTAAATTGATATCTCTGAATAATTTAAATAAAATGCCCAGAATCCTGACAGGACAGTCCAATGCTTGGCCAGGCTGGGAGCTGACAGTCTGCAGCTGGGTCATGGTGGCTTGTCGCTTTTAATGGGGAGATGAGGTCCTAACTGGATATCTTACTTTTCTGATCCACACAGATGAACGTGTCTCTTGTGACAAGTAAACTGTATTTTTAGGGCACAGTATTTCTTTAGTAAAAATTGGAGTTGATGGTCTGTCATCTCCTGATTATTTCTTTTGATGCCTCTTCAGACCCTTGTTACTTATTAGACATAATAGTGGACATGGCTGCTTCATGTCAGGCTTCCCCCCCCCACCCCGTTTTTCATAAGGTGGGAAAACTCTAATGCCTGGATAAAAGTAGATATAATAATCTTTGCTGCACTGCTTCTCTTCCTTTTCCCTCAACAATTAATTAAAGCTTATAAAGTATACTTGTTCTCCAGAGAGGTTGACCCTTTTCATATAGAACTTGATGAATTGGAAACTGGATTATAACATACCTGGTAGATGCCAATAGAATCTGCATTTGGCTCCTGATGTGAAGGGTCTGGAAATACAAACCTAGATTTAAAAAAAGTTATAAAAGAAAGGAAGAAAGCACTTCCTTCACCTAGTAGAAATGTCTGCAACTGCAATCTTGCCTCTTACATGGTTAACATTTATGTTTTTTAAACATACCACGCAGTCTGGGATAAGTTTTCCTGCTTCAAGGCAGGTATTTTTGGAGAGATGGGGAGGATTGCCCCCTCTCCCTCAGTGTGAAAATATTTTCTGTTCAGAAACGTCATTTTCTTCTGTCATTTTGACCTGACTTTCTTTCACATGTCTGCAGTGACCATGTGTAGTAGTTTTGCCTCATCTCATACAATAATCCCAAAATTTTGTTGGGAAGGCATTATGGTTTCTCTGTGTGGTCTTTTTTTTTTTTTTTTAGTGTTTGTTTTATTTATGTTTTTTTTTTTAATGAAAAGGTGATGTGTGCCTTTGCCTGTAAGCAAATTCTGCAGCAGTGGTTGTGGAGTGTATCAGTCATCTGTTGAGTGCATTTATTTTTAGCCCTGTCCATTTCCGGGAATGCCTGTCTACCACTACTGATACAAAAAATGAGCAAAACCCTGGTAATGTGTGTATGATTTGGGTTTCTCAAACTTAAAAACTTTTGATTTCTCCCCTGCCCGCCCGCCCCGCCAACATCATTGCAAATCAGGTGCGCATCTACTGAAGTACAGTGGGATTGCAGAGGAAAATCAGACCTCTTGATTGAAATTACCGAGTGGCTAGGTTTTACTTGATCTTTCAATATTCTCTAAACTTCTGATTGGAAACCCCTAGCGATACATTTTTCAGGAGGAAAAAGAAAGGCATTATAGTGTGCTTCCAGTGAACATGTTTAGCTGGTTTTCTGTGTGCATGTGTAATAGTGACCTTCCACTCGGTTAGGAAGTAGACCCTACTTGACCCATTGCACGTTTGTAAGTGGATGTTTTATGAATGTTTTCCACATCAGGTAGCATTTGCAGCTTTTGCACCAGACGGCCAAAGTTTTATGGCCTTCAGTTCTATGTCAGTTTTGTTTAACAACCTTAATTGATTTTTGCAAAATGTTCATGGCTGACTGACTCCCTTAATTTTTCTGGAGTGGTACAGTGCATGGGATTATCTGTGTGTAACACAGTGGAGCCTGGTACTTGGATGAACAAGCATTCCCCCTGTACTTCTGCTTTGTTGGCACAGAGACCGCTGTGTCCGTATGGACCCGGGGACTCCACACGTGCCAGAGAAGCCTGCTTGGGAGAGAGAGCTGGCTCCTGTAGCCAGATGTACATGAGTGTGCAACTTGTTTCTCTTTTTCTTCCCAGCCATGTCTCAAGCCGTGCAGACGAATGGGACGCAACCTTTAAGCAAAACATGGGAGCTCAGTTTGTACGAATTGCAAAGAACGCCTCAGGTAATAAGTGTTAAAGAGCTGGCCTTTATGGCAAGGCTTTTTTTTATACTTTTTAGAACACGAAGCTTGACATTTAAGATTTTCTTTTTCCTTTAGGAGTGTTAACTGCCTATTTTAAATTAGAGTATATGTTAAAAAAAATCCTCCCGAAACAACATCTGTCTTATAATATTAGAAAAATAAACGAATGTTTGATCTTCATTTCTTTTTTCCTTCTTTTAGCAGTATGTGTGTGTGTGTTTGATGTGGTTGCATGTGTGTCTTGTTTTGCCTTTTTACTCTTTTAAAGAATAGTAAAACATGCAATCTCTGAGGAAGTTCCTAAATTCCATTAAAGGATTTTTACTTTACTTTACGCTAGGAAGCAATCACCGATGGCTTGGAAATAGTGGTGTCACCCAGGAGCCTGCACAGTGAACTGATGTGTCCCATCTGTTTGGATATGTTAAAAAACACCATGACAACAAAAGAATGTTTGCATCGCTTCTGTGCTGACTGTATCATTACAGCCCTCAGGAGTGGGTATGTAAATATTATTACAGGGAAAAGGGATTTCACTTAAGATGGAGATGTGATCAAGGAAATCCTTTAAGTCCTGGGTGTTGATGTGGAACAGTTACGTGCCTGTGCACTGCAAGTTTCTGAATGTGTAGCACACCTTTCATATTTCATTCTTATGTGTTCAGCCATTTGTGGCAGACCAGATCTGTTTTTTTCCTCATATGAAAAATCCCATAACTTTTGTTTCTTGCAAGGAGTTGAAAACCTCCTTTCTCTTCTTTTTTTTTTTTCCCTTTTTTTTCAATCCAGTAACAGCAAAACAAAAATACACTACATTACTTACAAAAATGAGTCTCATTTTCTTTATTCTTCCCTTTCTTAACACTAAATTGCAAATTGTATGGCCTTTCAGCAGTAATCCTGCTTCCAAGCTTCACTACTGAAACAACCTATGCTAAAGTACAAATAATCTTTCTTGTATTCTTCAGTTACAAGTTCATATTTTCCTAAAAGCAACAGAATTCTGAGGTAACCAACAGCAATTAAGTCAATGATGTGAGTATCAATTTCTGATAATGGCAATTACCTGTGTTCAGAGGTCACACTTAATTTGCTGTGCCTGTGTAAATTCTGATGAGTAATTAGCAAAAATACATTAGAGGGAAACAAGAAAACCATCAGGAGTAAAGACGCCAGTGTTTCAGCTATTGAGGCCTCTTCCTCTTACTGGAAAAAAATTATGTGAACCTGACATTATAGTTAAATGAGAACAAAATGGTAGGAAGGACAAGACTGTTGTAGTTTGCCCAGTAATTAGTGCTTGAACTATGGAATAGGTTCCTTAATCCCTGTTTTGTCCTGGGAGTGCTAGGAAAACTATGCCTTAATATGATTTCCACTGGACATGCTTTTTTTTCCTAGGTGAAAATCCATCCAGAGGGTTAAGGGAAGAACCGTTTTGCAGAGTGGAACTTTTGAACTCTTCAGTCTAAATACAGTTTGCTCAAACAAACTTTAAAAAAAAAATGAAGCAGGGAGATACATGTTTGGGGGGTTTTGTTTAAATATCTGGAACTACCTGATCTGTCAAAAGATAGAAGCCCCATTCCAGATTTACTATAAATACTGAGGCTTGGTGAGCACTTGGATTATGAATTGCAGCATTAGGGCAGACTTTTGTTATTGCCAGAGAGTTAGTATTGTTTTCTCCCTTCTTGTTCACGTCCAGCAACAAAGAATGTCCCACATGTCGTAAAAAGCTAGTTTCAAAAAGATCACTGAGACCAGATCCCAATTTTGATGCTCTCATCAGTAAAATTTATCCAAGCCGAGATGAATATGAAGCTCATCAGGAGAGAGTGCTAGCAAGAATCAGCAAGCACAATAACCAGCAAGCTTTAAGTCACAGCATTGAGGAAGGATTAAAGATTCAGGCTATGAACAGGTATGTAATCCACGTAATTTGTCCACGCGTAACCTCGTTTGCCTTAACACTAAAAATATACCGTCTGTCCTCACTCCCTGCATAGCTTGAGATTCCTCTTCTCTCCTCTGAAGTCTGCCAAAATAATTTTTAACCTTTTGCCTACTAATAGTAACCTTTGTATCACTCCCTGCAACTTCTGCGGCAGCTTGATGTAGACAACAGATTTCAGCTTAGCTTTACCAAATTATGGCTGTCATGTCTTAGGTAATAAACTGTAATACAATGAGTCCTGTACCAACATATTACCATGACATGCAAATAAATGCACATAATGCTAGAACTTAGGTTATAATTGTGACTTAATTCACAAGGCTGGAATATATGGTGTTTACACAGTATTGAAATTCTGGGTGTGCATTTAAACCTAAGAGAGCCAGCTGGGAAAGAGGCCCTAAACTTTAAGTTGTGGTGAAGCATGATGTCATTTATCTTTTTAATCACATGTGGATTCATATTTAGATGAAAATAATGATCTGAAATTGCCTGGAAAAAATAACTGTATGAAGTTAAAAATGATCTTAAAACATGTCTAAAAGGTGTTTGAGGGATAGGAAAAAAATCCATAGTCTTGTCTATGAGTATCTTTTGATAAGAAAGAATGAATTTTTCTTTTTGAACTTTACATATCTCTGAAATGTAAACATGCTTGTGTCTGCATAGGTCTAACTTCTGGCATGATGGAGACTGGGAGAGGGAGGAGTTGTACAAGCGTTGTGGGCCTGTACATTGGGTGAATTGTGAATGTGGATTAGCATTTATTTCTACCTATTTCTGATCAGGCTACAGAGGGGCAAGAAACAACAGATTGAGAATGGCAGTGGAGCAGAAGATAACGGTGACAGTTCACACTGTAGCAATGCCTCAACACACAGCAATCAGGAAGCGGGGCCTAGTAATAAGAGGACCAAAACATCGGATGATTCTGGGCTAGAACTGGACAATAACAACACAACTGTGGCAATAGACCCCGTAATGGATGGTGCTAGTGAAATCGAATTAGTCTTCAGGCCTCATCCGACCCTCATGGAGAATGATGACAGTGCACAGACGAGGTAAATGTCTTCTATTCCTCTTCATGTATTCTGCTGTTATTTTCTGTTGCTTTTGTTTTCTGTCACTCCTTGGGGCTTTTAAAAATCAATTTAATTGTCATGCCACATCCTGTTTAACCATATGCACTTTTTCCCTCTTTCCATTGCAAGTCAGGTAGATGGTACTGCTCAGCTATTGTCAAGAATAGAGTAACAATCTGTTTTAAGCCTTTGATCACAAATAAAGACGTTTTTAAGGGTTTCTGGCATTGCAGTTCACAATAGGTACTAGGATGACAGTATAATATCAGCCCTTTTCTACTTATTATAAGATGCTTTGGGAATAAACAAACCTTGCGTAAGTGTCAGCAGTTTTCGGAGCAGCTTTGTGTCAGCGGGATTTGTAGGCTGGAAGCTTTTCCTGGCATTTTTTTTCATGATCCAGTCCAAGCACAGACTGCAAATTTTGGATCACAGCAATGAGCAGTCTCGTGGAGTTTCCTTAGGCTTCTTCCTGGCTTTATCTCCTGATGAGACATCCCTCTGTAGTGCCTATAAATATATGTTTCAGCCAGCTTTCCTTTTTGGTTTAGAATTGCAAGGGAGTTCTGGGGGTTGTTCTGAAAGGCAAAGAGAAAGCTAAGCTTCCGGGAGAGGCCTCTGCATTTGTGTCAGCCTTTAATTCTTGCATGAAGAATTAAAGTGAGAACAGATAGTGAGACAATAAGGAAGAGTAACTTTAATGAGGTGCAGAGTGTTGCGTGCATAGCTCTCACACCTGGCTTTCTGTCCAGGCATTTCAGACTGTATCTATGCTCAGAAGATTTCAGCAGTCACGAGTAGTTCTTAAAACCCCTTGACAACCTGTTACTAGGTTTTTTATTTCAAGCAGATGAGAGGGTAGTGCTGTCTTCTCTCTACAAAGAGCAGTAGGGCCTGTGGGAGAAGTGTCAAAAAGATGTAAGGGCACTTTGGAACAGTATAATTTGGTAAGTTGGTTGCATGTCTTTGGTGAAAGCAATTAATATTCTTGTTTCTGAACTGTCTTTAAAGGCCTTTTCACACTTGATGCTTAATGTTTGGGGGTGTTCCAGATGTCTTTTTCCTATACCTGCAACTCAAATGTCTTTGATTATCTTTGTGGTTGTTGTCACAGATATATCAAGACCTCAGGCAATGCCACCGTTGATCACTTGTCCAAGTATCTAGCTGTGAGATTGGCTTTGGAGGAGCTTCGTAGCAAAGGAGAATCAAACCAGATGAACCTCGACACGGCCAGTGAGAAGCAGTATACCATTTACATTGCTACTGCCAATGGGCAGTTCACTGTAAGCGGAACTTCTGTCTAAGAGTAAAACTGAGCATCAATACATCTTTGATACAGATTTGATTAAAATCCACTCAGCTGGACTTTTCCTGAGTTGGCTTAGGGTTACAATTCATAGCACCAGGTTGTTTATTTAGAAGCAGATCAGTTCCTTTGTGGGAAAGTGTATACAGCAAAAGCTTGGCTAGTAGAAAAGGAGGCATATACATTACTTGAAAAATCCAGTGATGCTAGCAACTACTAGCTGACTTATGCCATTATTTTACAGTTAAAATTGAAGGGGAAAAAATATTACTTCATCTGAGAATCTTGCTTCAAGAGCAGATAGCTCTAGCACCAGAAAGCATCTATTGTAAGGTGGCGTTTCTCCACTTCTGTGTAGGCTTCTAGTATTCCGAACAGCTGTGAGTACACTTAATGAAGAATCCCTCCTCTCAGTTGCTGACTTCAGAATATACAGATACAACAAGAAGGCAATATCGCAATTAGATTGAACTCTGAGCCTGGTCTTACACTTGGGCATTTATCCGAATAGAAGAAGTCTCCTCGTTAAGAGGCAGGCTTTGCAATAAGAATCTGTTTCAAACAGCTTTCAAGCATGACTACCGATTGTCCCTTAGACAAAAGCAGAGATGCTTCTGGTGTAAATATACATCTACTACTCCTTCTGTTTGCAGAGACAGGAAAAAGAAAAACTCAGGTTCACTTTATTTGCCACTATATTCACTTTGCAAAAGTGTTTTCCGGTACTGTTCTAGCGAGACCAGCAGGAGTTCAGAATAGCTTGCATTGTTGTTTTTTGACGCTGAGTGGGTACCTAATACCTTGTTCCACATTAAGCTGGCACATTCCTCTGATTTAAGTAGTTGTCTGTTGTTACAGTACTACCTGTGCAAGCCATCAGATCTCATTTCTGTTTTGGTGTTCTCTTCTAGGTATTAAATGGGTCATTTTCCTTGGAACTGGTCAGTGAGAAGTACTGGAAAGTGAACAAACCCATGGAACTGTACTATGCGCCAACAAAGGAACATAAATAAGCTGTGCTGGAATGGGACTAACTCTTTTTATAGCTATGACTTCTTTAATATTAAAAGAAGGCACCACCATTATCTTCATGGACAATACACGTGATGCCTTCAGGCTCTCTCAGTATACTTATTAACATGATTAGACAGTATTCTGGGTTGTATTTAATTTAGTCTTTGTTTTGGGGTTTTTGGTTTTTCCCTAGGAGACTAAATGACCTTCTCCAGTGCATTCCGGTGTTTGACATGCTTTTTTGTTCCTAACGCATGATAACTGAACGAGTGTTCCGGTTTGGAATGTCTTAATTTTGTCCAGGTAAATCTGGATTTCTAATACATTTGACACAGTTATAGTAGCCTCTGTGAAGTATTGAGCATTGGATGGCTAAGTAAGTCTATTCAATAGTAACATATGCCAAGGAATGTGTTAAATGTTGTAATTTGCTAATGGCTATCCATATAAAAGATTGTTAGAGAATTGATTTCTGATAGTCTTGCAGCTAGAGGTAATCTCATTCCCTAGAAAAGATTTATTAGTCATTTTCTTGTGAACAAATAGAGCTGTCGTGAGAAAACTGACACTTTAAAATCTTGCTGTTTACTGGGCTTAATACTTCAGTGCAAGGCGATTAATGAGATTGGTTTGCTTTTTAACAAGTATTTCAGTCAAAAAAATCCCAAACAACCCAAAGCCGTAACTCTTCTGCATGTAGAACATGCCAATCTTGATGCACACTGCAGCTTCCCGTCTGGCCCCCGTTGCAGCGTTATCCTGTCCTCACAAGCTTAATTGAACAAAATACTTTGGAAGTTTTACAGCCTATTCTGTTCCCTACAATAACAGATTTTTATTGTGAATGTATCGGAACTTTCTGCAAAGAACTGTCTTGAAAACTTTTTTTTTTTTTTTGAAAGCAAATCCCTGGAATTCCAGCACATGGACATAATGCAACATCAAAATGCTTTGCTTTATGGAATTTGTGCCACCCCAGCTGTGAGCTTATCCAGGCTGCAGTCTGAGTAGGGAGGACTTCAACTGTAAGCTGCTCGAAGATTATATTTTTTTTTCTTTGCCATAGCTTTAACAAATGTGGCTTAGCACTTTGGAAGGCAATTTTAGTACTTGACAAAGTTTACCATTTAGTGTCTTAAATTTAGGTTCAAGTTTTAAAACTTGGCAGCAGGCTGTTGTGTAAAGTCCAGTAGCTACTGTTCATTTGCATGTTAAACTCCTCTTCCCTCGCTCTGAACCTTGCTGTCACTTAATGGGGGTTGCTTTACCTATTAGCATTCTTTCTTAAGCGAAATGGTGTTACCGTGAGATTCCCTTTGCTGTAAGACTTGCTGATGAAGCCTTCACCTGTTTGCAGCACCTGAAGCTCAAAGCAAAAGAAGTTGCTACAATATGTGAGAAGTAATATACTTTAAACCATATGGTATTGCTCCTTCTTTGTCTTGCCCATAGTTAGACTGTTTTTGGCATGTGGTTACATAAGTATTCAGATGCTCGGGGATTCTCTTGGGGAGGAAGTACCCTTCCATCGCTTCTGTCTTTCAAGCCTAGCACTTGTAAATACGTGTCCAGTCCGATTGCTGTTTCAGATCAGCTTTATCCCGATGTGAAAACTGCACAGGCTTCTTTGAGTAACTTAATTATCTTCTCTTACTGGAAAGATTTTGGGTTTTGTGACATGAAACAGAAGTATCAGAACACAGAGGGGGCAGTTTTTAAGGAAATACGTTATTCATGACTTTCTGGTGAAATGTTGCATTGTGTAGACTAGTAGTGCATGTCCACTAAATATAATCTGGGGGGTGGGGGAGCAGTGATAATAAGTGCTTTAAAATTTATGGGGAAACTTCTAGATTAGTTGCAGCATACCTTCCCATTGTGATAGCTAAGGTAATGTCCAGTCCCGTAAACAAGAGAGGTGTTTGTGAAGCGGAGCAGTCTGTCTAGGAGCTGTCTGTCACTTTGTCCCCAGTTCTTTAAAAAGCATGGGAGAACGTGGAGCTTTTATTTTCATGTTGTAGTGAATTTACTGAATATTTATGTTCTTTAAATATTATATATATAATGTAGTTGTTTGATTAAACCATTGATTGCACTGTGACTCTTTAGTGCTATAAACTATTTTATTTTCAAAATGACTTTACTCTTCCACCTCTTAAAGCCATGTTATTTTTTAAGTACATGATGTGTGTTAGGTACGGGTAAGCCTAATAGCTCTAGTATCCAACTAAAGTCACACTGAAATTCTCAAATTGACAATAAAAGCAAAAATGTTATCAACAACCTGTTGGGAAATTCCAGTGCTGCTTCCTCTTGTAATTTATAAAAGAAACCCTTTGGACAGTTTTTGTCTGTCTGTCTGTCAGTGCTGCCGTGTTTGTGGTTGTCCAGAGGGAAGGGTGAGTAGGTGCAGCTGACCTCAACCGCTGTTGATCCAAGTTGAGTCTGGCCCTGAGCACTGTTACAGTCCTTTGAAACCAACTGAACTCCTGTGGGTGTTGCATGCCTTGAATGAGAAATAGAGAGGCACACAGAAGATAGCAGCTCTTCCAGTGATGGGTCATAGGTGCTTCTGTTCTAATCAGATCTTGGAGCCTGAGAAATGGGATGAAGGATTTTCACAGCACTCAGGTTAAACCCAGCAACTTTGGTTGCATTTAATTGTACATTAAGCAGCTTCAACAGAAAAAAGTGTAGGATAACTGTAATGAATCACTTGGGTTGAGGTACTATTAAATTATTAAAACAAAAGGAACAGAACTTCACTTTTTTTTTATCTCTATGGTTATTACAACCTTTAACCAGAAGGCTGCACCTTGAGTTAAGAGGGAATGCTTGTGTACGCTAAGAGTAGGGTTTCTTGAGATGTACTGAACTTAAACTCTGATTGCGGAAGGAGGTCCCTTTCTGCCTCGACTCCTGCTGCTCACTGTGCTGACACTGATTGTCAGAGCCACCTTTGAACAGCTTTAACTCCCTTAAAGCTTCCCTCAATCACAGCCAAACAGAAAACACCCAGAGAGCTCATGGGCAGCGACTCTCTGCTGTATGCAGTGGGTAGGTGGATATGTCCCTCAGCTACAAAGCATTAGAGGTGCCACTGTACCACCCATACTGGTAACTAGATCATATCCTAAAACTTAATTTTCCATCATCTGCTGGTGTTTGTCCTCCAGCATGCTGATCAGCTGATAACCTAATACTAGTATCAGGGCACTAATGGTTCCAGCAGTTCATCAGTTCTGCTTTTCTGTTCAGCACAAGCCACTTGCAGGAACACCTCCACCTGACAAAGATTTGTTGCATGTTGAAGGTCTGCGCCAGTGACACAGAGTGCCTGGCAAAGTACTACCTTGGGTATCAGCTCAAGGCCCTGTGGTGCAACATCGGCCTACTACTACATTTACTACTGTAATAGCCAACCAGGGCAATATGGATTACCCAAGCTGATCAAAACTGCTTTGGGTCATGCTGTTGTGCACAGAGCGCTCTGCACTGCTGTGCCATTAGCGACTTGTTTGGAGACACAGCCAAGCAGACTGCTGTGCTCCCCAAACCCTGTTTCCATGCAACACGAGGACAACGTACTAGTCATACCTTCTAACAGAATCAAGAAATAACAAGGAGTCCCCAAACAACAGCCTTGAACCAACGCTAGTGTTCTGTTAACTAATTACTGCAGGACTGGCCCTACCTGATGAACAGCTGAGACAACTATTGAACAGAAAGAGAATTCTCACAGGCCTGAGTTACAAACACCTCTTCTGCTGGTCACTTACAACAGGCAAAACTCCTTGTCCCAGATTATAATGGTTTCTGCCCATCTGACAGAGGGGACAAAAGCAGGAATTGTACAGACAAGCCTGAGCTTCATTTTCTCTGCCCCTCCTTGGGCACAGCTACAACCACCAAGGTATAGTTGCTTTGACTTGGAAAAGATGCACAATACCTTCTGTTACTTAGGAGGAGCTGCAAAAGTAATAAAAAAATATTTCCCACAACAGGCTTCAGTTAAACTTTCTTTTTAGCCTACTTTATTGTAATTGGAACACTCCCTTTTGCTCCAGTTAACCAACTTTCTGACTGACTGTATCCCACCTCTTACATTAACACTGAAGTGAGCAGTGTGTTATCTGCAAGCAAAGCCTTCCAACAAACAGTCTCTCCACTTAAAAAAAAAGAAATACTTAGTTCAGAACAACTAGGGAACACTAACTTTTCCAAAGATAACTTGGGATCAAATTGGAAAGATAAATGTAAGAAGAAAGAAAAGAACTATAAGCACTAAATTTTTTAAGGAAACTTAAGTTTGTTGCTGTATCACTGCTGAAGTGCAATCTATTATCCCTTTAGTGTTTTTTTTTTTTTTTTTTTAATTAGGACAGAATGAAAATAACTCATTACCAAAGCAGTCCTGAATTTAAGATGGTATAAGAGACAGTAACTTAATTCTGGCCTGACAGGAGCTTAGGAAGTTTTGCATGATCAGGAGTGTATCAGTCATGTTACTCGTGGTTGGCGCTCAACGAAAGAGAAGCAATACTCTTACTGTGACATTTCGGAGATGGCTAAATAAGAATAAGCACCCCGCATATTCTCTTAGAGAAAGCTAACACTGGGGGCCAGGTTGAACACCAAACCTGTGAAAAAGTGGCACAATTAGTTCACTTTTGACAGTTGTTCCCAATTGAAGTGAAATATACAGAGGTATCCAAACAAAGCTGGGGGAAAGAAAGGACAAAGTCAAGCTTATTTGGCTGGAATGCTGCCATATATTTAAGGAAACCAGAACCGACTACCAACACACAGCATCTTTGCTCATTCACAGAAGAGATCTTTTTAACAGCTAAGATAGATTGTATCATTCATTGACGAATTCAGAGCAAAACTTCACCTAGAACTTCAACTTGTGGTGCTTTGTCACTGTACCTTTTTGCAGTACACAACCAAATGTAATCTCTGAACAAACAACTACCTAGGGTGACTAACACAATTCACTAAAGTTTGGTTATAAACTGAAGTTTCAGTAACAGTCTTGGAACCATTCCTTTCCATTCTCACTTGTGTTAGGTCCTTGCTTATAGGCAGAATTATGAAAACAGAACTGAATGCCAAATTACATGTGCAATCTGGAGTTAGAAGTGCACAGAGTCA